TGAACCGCAAGCTTACTTCCCAAATGGGGAGTTTTTGTTAGGAGACAAGGCCTACCCTGTACTAACCTGGCTTATTCCCCCGTACATCGACAGAGAACACTACCGAAATTCAAAGGCATTTTAATAGAAATTTGGCAAGCACTAGACAGGTGATTGAGAGATCTTTTGCGTTACTGAAAGGTCGTTTTAGAAGATTAAAATATCTGGACATGAATCGTACTGATTTGATACCTGCTACGATATTAGCATCATGTGTTCTGCACAACATGTGTATCGATCATAATAATTTATTTATAGAAGAATATGTCATTGAGGGAATGAACACTGACAACCAAGATGCAGAGCTGATCAATCCCGTACATCGAGCTGTGCCTAGTGAAAATGATGGACATCCGAAAAGAAACGAATTAGCCGAGTTATTGTATTACCGAGTCTAGCTGATGTAGAAATAAAGTACCCATTTTTATACTTCAGACATTTTTCTCAATTTGCAATTTCGAACTATTAATTGCACGAAAGTATGAAAATCGTTGAAGCTCAATATCGAAACGAAACGTATCCCTTTTTGTTCGCCGGTTCTTGTAAATAACTTGTGAATAACTTGTGAATAACTTTAACCTAAAAAAGGCGCGTTTCGAGAACATGCGTTATGTGCCCCTTATGTGACGGAATCCATATGTGCGCATGTCGAGTAATTTCTACCTACCTCCTCGACGTGGGTAGAAATAGTTAACTCGAGAGTTGACTCAAGCGTGTTTCTGAACGCCACAAATGGGTCAACTCAGCATTTTTGAACGCCTAGAGTTAACTAGAGTTAACTCGAGTAAGGTTTCAGAACGCAGGCCTGGGAGTTCTGCAATGGTAAACATCAACGGCCAACAATGGCTTTTTGCACTTTTTACCAAAGATAGCCCGTCTGTATTTAATATTAATGTTAAATCATATTTATGGCTGTTATCGCGAGATTTCACCCGAATATATTCAGATACATCAGTTATGTCAGATATGATATTTTTATCACGTAATAAAGTAGGTGCAGATTTTAATTTGGTGGCAAGATTTCTGTTTTCGAACATATACTTCATTTGGTCATGAATGTCAAATTCGAAAAAAAATGAAATATCATTTTTGTTAGCATTGCATGAGGAACATTTAAAATTTTTATCGTTAATACAATCGATGTAATGTAAACATTTTTTACAATAAAAATGTTTATTAACATTACATGGAGGCGCAATATTCTTAACGTATTGAAAAAGTTTAAACACTGTTCTTGGCATTTGGTTGTCTCTAGGAAGCATATTACATACTATTCTTAACATCTCTTTCAAGGCAGCTTTTGTAAGTTCATGATTAACATAAAAATTCATTAGCTCGAGAACACCTTGGTCAACTGACATTGTGCTATTTTTGTATAACATATGATCAAACTTACTGTCATCATTATCATCATTACTATAATCATCATTCGATTCAATACCACTTGCATCATTATTGTTTATATTATTGCTACAATTAGAACTTAATTCACAGCTTTCGTCAAAATCACCGTTACTATATATATTTATACTTTCATTACCACTCGAATCACCTGATAAACTACTGATATCATAAAAAGATTCTACATTATCATCTCTATTTACATTTTCATCCTGATTGCTCAAATCGCAGCGTTCATTGACACTATCATTGTCGATTGTACTATGATCAGCAGTGCCCTCACCTAAGATGTTACTGTTATCGAGAATTTTTTTATTATTATTTTTATTCACTTCTTTACAAAGCGATGTATTCCGACGCCACCTGGATAACGTCCTTAATGGAACCTAAAAACAGAATATAATTAATATATATAGCCTTAAAATGGACGAAGTACAATAAGTTAATTTAGAAATAGCGAACGTTGAAAATTAAATAAGAAATTAAATTGGTCATGTTTAATATTTTCTATACTCAAATATAAGTTTTTAAGATATAAATTTTTGAATATTTCCACATTTATCATATTCTCTTACACAATTAAATTCCAGTAATTTTTTGTATTATAATTTTTCAACTTTTAATTGAGGAAATAATTTGAAAATAATACTATATATATCAATATAAAGGGAATTAGAAAAAAATAACCACTAAAAAATCAAAATTATATAAATTAATTGTGAAGAACAAATTTTCTCTTACGTTGAAGTTTATCAGAAATTACTGAAGATTACCGTAATTATATACAGCTACAATATATGATATTGCAGAGTTATGCATATATATTATACATACCGGAGCTGTGAAATCTTCTTTCCAAAGTTTGTATCTTTTCTTAGTAACTGGCGATTGCAGATCGCCAGATGAAATCTCGTTAGACGACATATCTCGAATGAGATTTGTAATAATAATAATATTACCCTACAAAGATTATTTTGATAATCAACATTTTTTGTTTACAATATTGTTAGCAAATTTTTTACGTAATTTAAAACAGACATTTAAAGAAGCAAATGTAAAAATAATTATATGTCAGTGCATTCAACATTGCCATAAAAATTTTCAAATTTAGAGTGAAATTTTTATACAAAAAAAATTAATTTATATTTTTTTACAGAAAGCTTTAAAGGAGTGAACGTAAAAAATACATTTATAGTCGCTTTTTGCATTTTTTACTCTCTTACGTATATATATACAATATATGTACATATAGGTACATCATATATACTTACACATTTATTCGTACTTAGAAAACGTTACAAATATTCTATGCGCGTTCAACACGTCTCAAATAAAAAAGAATAGTGTGTGATTCTTTGGATCAATTTTCTCACACTATTTAATTAATTAGATGATGAATTACAAATAATTGGATTAGTTTATATATATTTAATCCAATAAATATATTGTAAATATAAAAATATTAATTACAATATATTATAAATTGGGTTATTTCGGGTTATCCACACTTGTTTGAGATTGATCGTTTGCGTGTATCGATACAAAATCTAACCTTCCACGTATGCACATCATAGCGTATAATTTACTGGGCTGCATATTCTGAAGCCCGTGTCACACTACGTATCGCGGACACGGATCGGATTGGGATTACAGATCGCGGATCGGATGTCAGCCAATCACAGATGAGCTGCTCGTCTATAATTGGCGGGCATAATATGGTGCGTCATTCGTGGTCTCGTGCAGTTGACTGCAGCCTCGTGTTAAGATAGCGTCTGTGCGTCTGTGAACAGTTGCGGTTTGATACATTTGTTTAATCTTGTTGTATTAATTTGTAACGTACTTGTGATTGAAACTAAAGACTAAAATGTATCTTATAAATTGTGATGAAGACGACTCTTATTGTATCGTGGATGATACTGATGTCATTTACGACGAAGATAACCCACCAATCTCTGGAGAAAAAGTGCATTTTTATTGGCAAAAATCAACGTACGAAGGAATCATCATCATGCATTCAGGTAAGTCAGTATATGCATATATGTATATATTTTTTTACACTTGAAAAATTTCTTAATTTTTATCACGCATGTCGCACTAAGAGGTTAGTTCAAAGTTATCCTATATGGGGTAATAGACAAAGTGCGAGTGAAATATATTATATACATAGATATTGTATATATATATATATATATATATATATATATGTTCGATATCGTGGGGTCGCAATAGAGATCAGGACGGTGGCGGTTAGAGTCCTATATAAAGAGAGAAGCGACATCGAACCCCCACTACAGACTTCGCATCCCCACCATCACCTCCA